CCCCAAAACCCCAAAACCCCAAAACCCCAAAACCCCTTATTTAAAGAAATTAATTGAAATTTTTGCAAGATAATTAAATGTTAATCAGACTACGATTGCGAAACTTAAGAGGCTCAAAGTGTTTCTATTGTGTATCACAAGAAAGGCCTAGTTTTTCAGACATGAAGATGTCCAAAAAGCCAGGAAACTCATTTTCTAAAAAGGGGAATATTGATGAACATAAAGTAATGAATACTCCTAGTACTTATGTAGCAGATAAGTCATTAAGCTTGTTTGAGAAGTACAAGACTGATCCAAAGGACGAAACTGCCTTGGTAGATCTCACTTTAGCCAAGAAGACCCAGCTGACCCATGATTCATATGTGTTTAAACTGGATTTCCCAGAAGGCAATGAGAATATGGTCATGGGGACTGACATTGCAAGAGTTATCAGGTTCTGAAAGGTCCTACCTACTAAGGAAGATCCTCAAGGAACAATGGTAATGAGGTAACCTCCTCTGATTACTTCTTTTAGGTATTACACCGTGTCCTCGCCAGTTGATATGAAGGGGTCAGTCGAAGTCCCGATTAAAGTTTATCGGTAGGTAGTGGGAATTTCAAGTTTAGAGCAAATGAAGATCCTAAATATCCTGATGGAGGAATCATGACCTCTTATCTAGATAAAATGAAGATAGGTCAGAGGATTAAAGTTCTTGGTCCGATTGAGAGACTCCAATATTATGGAAATGGGCTAGTCAGAACTGGTGAAAAGGGGCCTTATGATATTGTAAAGAAGGTAAGGAAGTTCAAAATTCATCTAAAGATTCCCTAACCGATTTTGTAGAATCACATGATATTTGTAGCAGCAGGGAGCGGAATTACTCCTTACTACAGAATACTCAAAGATGCTTTGGAGCACAATGATCCAACAAAATTCACCTTAATCTACAGTAACAAGACTGAGGATGACATTATGTTTGAAAAAGAACTAGAGGAGCTTGCTCTATTATATCCTCATAAATTCACGTACAAGAAAGCCATTACATATCCAATCAACTTTGAGGAGCTAGAGGAGGATACTCATATTGGGAAGCTGACTCCAGAATATCTACTAGAGCACCTTCCAGAGCCTAGTGAGGATATATTAGTGACTAATATGGGTCCTAATAACTTCAATAAGTTCTTTGCCGAATTTATCGTCAAGCATACCTCTTATGACCCAATCACTCAGATCTTCTCAAGAGATGTTGATTCATTAATATTTTAAGATATTTAGAATTTCAGTTATTTTTACTCATGAAGGGGTTTTGGGGTTTTGGGGTTTTGGGGTTTTGGGGTTTTGGGGTTTTGGGG